TTATATAATAAAAATAAGTGTATTATGAGTGAGGTCAATTTAAAAAGGGAAGGTGCTGGGCTCAGTGGCTCAGCCTGTAATCCCGCGCCTTTGGGAGGCTGAGGTGAGTGGATTGCCTGAGCCCGCGGGTTCGAGACCCGCCTGGGCAGCAAGACCTCATCTCTACAATAAATCAAAAATTAGCCGGGCGTGGTAGCACGCATCTGTAGTTCCAGTTACTGGAAGGCTGAGGCAGAAGGTTCGTTGGAGTCCAGCAGGTCGAGGCTGAGATGGCCGGGAACGGCCACTGCACTCCAGCCTGGGCGACAGAGTGAGACTCCAACTCAAAAATAAAGAAAAAATAAAAAGAAAAAGGGAAGGTAATATTTGATTCATAGGTTAAAAACTAAGGACAAAAATTCCCAGTGGGACTTTCTGCTGATAACAGTAGAAATCCAAAGCTTAAAGCACAGCTGGCCGGCACACTAATGCAATCCTATCGAAATTAGTAACGGATCAAACAGGCACAAGAGAAAAAGGAAAGTTAAGATTATTCTGTCATCACTGTTATGGACAAACTGATAATGAAATAGCAAACTATAAATTTTTTAATTTAATTTTTTTCCACGAGAGTCTTGCTGTCACTCAAGCTGGTGTGCAGTGGCACTCTCACGACCACCACAGCCTTGACCTGCTGGGCTTAGGCGATCCTTCTGCCTCAGCCTTCCAAGTAGCTAGAACCACAAACGCGCACCAACGTGCCTGGCTAGTTTTCTGATTTATTGTAGAGACAGGGTATCACCAAGTTGCCCACACTGGTCTGGAGCTCTCAGGCTCAGGCAATCCTCTTGCCTCCACCTCCCAAAGTGCTGAGATTACAGGCGTGAGCCACCACGTCTGGCTATTACCTCTTTTAAAAAGAAAAATATAGCCAGGTGTGATAGCGCGCGCCTGTAGTTCCAGCTACTTGGAAGGCTGAGGTGGAAGGATCACTAGAGCCCAGCAGGTGAGGCTGCGGTGGCC